CAGGCTGCCCAGGGAGGCTGTGGAGTCTCCTTCTCTGGAGATATTCAAGACCCGCCTGGACAAGGTCCTGTGCAGCCTGCTGTAGGTGACCCTTCTTCGGCAGGAAGGTTGGACTAGATGACCCACAGAGGTCCCTTCCAACCCCAAACATTCTGTGATTCTGTGACGCGCCCGGCTGCATGGCCAGAGACCGCAGGTCCCTTCGGCTGCGTGTGCCACCTCACCAGCCAAACCCACGTCTCTCGGCACTACGGCACTCGCAGAACCCTGGCTTTGATCACCATTTGCGCATTCAGCAACTGGACGCCATAGCTCTGATCTTCAGGATGTGACTGCAGTATCCCAGGGAAGGAGTTCAGTTCTTCAGAGTTTTGTTCACTCAAGGATTAAATATTATTTGAGCAGCACGACTGCAGCGTGGCTGCCAGTCGGCAGACTGTACGCAGCCACACTGGTAGCCAGAGGTTTTTCCGTCTTTCTGCGCAGTTGCCACTTCCATGTATAACCCTTCCACATCGAACAGCGAACGACAGCCGATGTGTGCCCAGCTGCACGAGTGTCTTTACATGACACACGCTAACACGCACGGGCAGCTCTGCATTCGTTAGGGCAGGGACCCCAGGCTTCACAAAGCAGATCATCGGCGAGGTGAGCCCAGAACGGCGCAGCCTGGCCCTGGCTGCTGCTCCCTCCCCACAGCACCGCTGCCACCTTGGGTGCCAGAGCAGGAGAGGGGCTGTCAGGCCTGCCAGGGGACAGACGGACGAACCCCCACCGCTTCTGGCTGCCGGGAAAACCATCGGCGAGGCCCAGCGGTGGCAGCAGCCATCAACTGTGAGCGAGGGAATGGGCAAATACAGGGCACATCACCGTGCAGGCCTTGCCGCTGCAAGGAGGGGGAAGGATGGCAGGCGGGAAGCAGCACTCACATCCCCGAGGCAAGATGACAATGTCAGAGCCCAGGCGGTCTCTAACCCCGCCTCTCCGAACCTTCGCCCTGCGTCCGACGCTACCCGCCGGCAGCCATTCTGGGTGCAAACAGCAGCGCTTCAGAGAAAGGGCAACAGAAAGTTTGGTACCTTCCTCCACTTTGCTCAATAAAGGAAGCACCAAGCCCACAACAGAGCTTATTCTTCTCTTTATTACAACATGGAAAAAACAGGTTCCTGCAGCACACTCCTCAGAGCGGCATTCCACAGCTATTAACGGATGGCCCATGAGACGCACGTGGTCCAGGCTTTACTCTAGCGGCACCCGCTCTCCGGAGCCGTTCCCAGCCTCCTGCAGTTTACACGCACTGCTGGCGAAGACCAGTGCTGCCCACCTCTGCTGCAATTAAGCTACGTTCCACTGCAAGGAGAGGGGGAGGAACACGTAAAAGCAGTGGATGGAGCAGCAAGGGTCATCCCAAAACCCAGACAAAGGGATGTTCCTGCCAAGAGAAGCTCCCGAACACATGGCAGAGAAGTTGCAAACAGAGCTGAACAGGAAAAAAACGAAACCGATTTTGACTACTTCAGTGACGTAGCCTTGTATCAAGGCTGCTCAGATTGCTTCTAGAGGAGCTCAGCTGCAAGGCGTCCAGCCGGAGACTTGTTTTCCAGACAAAGTTAAGAACCAGGTGACATCAGGAAAGATCCTGCCTAAGAGTTGTGTCAGCACAGTTCAGGGTTTCTCATCTCCTCCAGCTGGCAGGAGGAAAAACCCACTTGCCTGAACTGGGGAAACCAGTTTTATGGGAAGAAAATGTAGGCTCGAATATCGACACTAAACGTTATAATCAAAATGGCATTTAAATGCTTGTGCAAATAAAACCCTGCAATAAGAGTAAAACCACAAACTTTAATAAAAAAGTCTGGCTTTATTTAAAAAAAAATTTACAAGTGTATTTCTTTAAACCTCAAACGTAGACAGCTGAGTTATTCACATCTTCCATTAGATGTGGCTTATTGCTTCAGCCTCCCTCAGCAAAGTGCCACATGACTAACGAGTTTCCCCCTCCACAAAAATGTATCGACCATCTCACAAAGCTCTCGTGCAGACGGGGTTTGGCTTTTTTTCCCCTTTTAACACTTAAACACAGCTGGTTTTACACAGAAAAGTGACTGCAGCTTAGCTGTTGTGCAGACGGCAGCAATTTCACCCACCCTTCGCTGGCCTGACCCGCTCCTCGCACCGTTCGGTGTCCCTTCACCACGGGCTGATGTGCGCTGGCTAACTGGGGTGCCAGAAAAGACCGCTGAACGCGTCCTGCAAGGCTCGGTGGCAAGCGAGAGAAGAAGTGTAGCCCCCGGCAAGATCCTGCGGGGAGGCAGCTCGTACGTGGTTGAGATACCTAAAACAAAGAGAAGCGGCATTTTAGAGCAGAAATAAACACATCGAAAGACCTGTGTGGTTCACGGTACGGTGAGGGTGAGGCTTCTTTTTGGGAGAACGCAAGGAGACGGAGCTGCCGACTGCATCGCTCTAAAGCTCCCGTTCTGCAAAGCGATGGTGACGCCGACGTGCCCAGCCGGCGCACGGAAAGCCTTGGCCCTTTGCAGAGCGTTGCACAGGGTTAAGTACGCTCCCTGGTCCCTATCTGCTGTGCTCACTCGGGGGGCAGGGCTGCCTTTACCCCCCTCGGGTAGTTCCTGCCAGGACGATGATGGAACACAAGCTTTTCCAGTACTCCCATGGGAATGGGAGGGTTTCAGCTCTGTGCGGCGAGTGCCAGGCGCTCACAGAATCACACAGAATCACAGAATGGCAGGGTTCAGCCTGAAGAAGAGAAGGCTGCGAGGGGACCTAATAAATGTTTATAAATATCTGAAGGGTGGGTGACAGGAGGATGGGGCCAAACTCTTTTCAGTGGTGCCCAGCAACAGGACAAGGGGCAACGGGCACAAACTGAAGCATAGGAAGTTCTGTCTGAGCATGAGGAAGATCTTCTTCACTCTGAGGGTGACGGAGCCCTGGAACAGGCTGCCCAGTGAGGTTGTGGAGTGTCCTTCTCTGGAGATAGTCAAGACCCACCTGGACAAGGCCTGCTCGAGCGCTCCCTGCTTCGTCAGAGGGGTTGGACTAAAGGACCCACAGAGGTCCCGTCCAGCTGCTCCGCTGACAACAGGGCTGAGCTTTCTGCTCTCGGGCCTGTCCATCTGCAGTACGTCACTGACACCAGGCAGCAAGATCCGTAGCAGGCTGTCATCAGCACCATGGCTAAAGCAGCCTCTAACCTTCACCATTAATTAAGTACCATCACAATAAAGCACCCGTTGCAGAGCCATCTAATTTTACACCAAACCAGCCGACATTGAAACCCGCGGCCTGCGCTGGCACTGCCGCCGGCACCCGGTTCCCC